AAAAAAAAAAAAAAAAAAAAAAAACAAACCTACAGAATCTATCTCCTTCATAACCCAGGGACTTGCTTGCCAGAGTAACAATAATACAATAATTAGCATTTATCAGGGACTTACGTGGCCAGAGTAACTGGCTTTGGTCACCTTATTTAGTCTGTATAGCAGCCCTTGAAGTAGGATGTGGTTAATGTTGGCCCTCAGGGGGCAAGAAACAAGGTATACAGCTGCCCAGAGTCAGCTGGAGAAATGGCACAGCTGGAATTAGAACCCCTGTGAGTTCAACTTCAGAGCAAGAGATTTTTACCAATAAAACAAAACTTCCTATATCATCTCTCAAGTCAAGGGTTTGCAAGTTGACCCCGAAGCTTTTCCTGCCCAAGCCTACCTCTCACGATTTCCTGCTAGCCAGGTCACAGCAGAGACCAGTGGCCACAGAGAAGTCTCTGTCCTCTCTGATTATCCTGACAGCATCAGGAGGAGGCAGATGGGACAGGAACCTATTAGGAGAAGGGTAGGACGGGGTTCCACTGCCCGCCTCAGCACAAGGTCTCTGGGAATGGCAGTCTGTATCGCAGGGGACTGTCCCGTGTGTGCAGCAGCATCACGGACACCATGCAGGGGTCCATGCTGGTGTCGGCCCTGCTGATGCAGCCTTCTCGGTGGGAAACTGGGGACCTGGGGCCTGTCACTAAAGGTGCTTCGTCTTCTCTCCACAGGCATGAATGCTTTACAGCTGCAGAACCTGGCGACCCTCGCTGCTGCTGCAGCCGCAGCCCAGACCTCAGCCACCAGCACCAATGCAAACCCCCTCTCTACCACGAGCAGCGCCCTGGGAGCCCTCACGAGTCCCGGTGAGTGACAGGTCGTGCCTCCCGCAGGTGCGAAGTCAGACCTGGACATGTCCAGGACAGAGCCAGGAAATGCCACTGGGCTATTTTACATGTTTTGTTGTGCCATTTATTTTTTTAAAAGGAACGAGGTTTGTGTGGTTTGTTTTCCGAGGATAAAATGAACAAGAGTTTTCACAGGAAATCCACTGTGCTGGCTAGCGCCCCTCACGGGTTCATGTTGGTTTAAAAAGGGTCTGTGTTGCCCATTCTACCCTGGTGAAGCCTCCACTACCATGAAGAGCCTTGGTCTCTTTCTTCTGCTTTTTTTGTCCTTTTTCTTTAAAATAATTTAAGAGTTCTCTGTTAAATCTCAAAATTCCTAAATATTCCAATGTTAATGTTTCACCCCAGTTTTATCCTTCACATTTAACTTTAAAATCCATGCTCTAGCAAGGAACATCTTTTGTTCGCTTCTGGTCGGATCCTGGGCTGTTTAATCAAAAGTCTTTCCCCCCCTAATTATGTTGCCTTATCCAAGAGCAGGTGCCGTTGTTCTTTCCATATGAGCTGGATGTAATGTGGTTGCTTGGCTACCATGACTTGTGCTGCTGCTGCTGGTGGTGCTGGTGGGTGTTTTAATTTAAAAAAGGCAGTATGTTTTTCTGGCTTTACTCTTCCTCTGAATTTTCTGGATCTTGATAGCTGATCTCACCTCCTCCATTATCACGTGAAGAAGTTGGCCTGGACCATCTCCAGGCTTCCTCCTAACTTTGAAAATCCCATGACCCTCTATCAGCTACGCCCAAAAGATTAGCTAAGTGTTAGAAAAACTTGAGTGAAAATCCTGCATGTGTTTTCCTTCAGAAAACCAGACGGTGAAAGTTTAAGCACACTCGGAACTTTGTGAAGGCTGTGGGCGTCAGGGAGCACGAGGCAGGCTCCTGGAGCCCACAGCACGAAAGAGCAGTAACTCAGTCTCTTTCTAAATCCCTGTGTATCTAGGACACGTCACCCTGTGGGCAGGTTTGAGGGGGAGCATGGGAGACGTTTAGGAAAAGCTGGAGGGTTTATCCTTCATGGGCGGAAACCTCGTGGTGGCCATGGGTCAGGGGTATTCACATCGTCGCGTAAAACGTCTTCACAATCCTACCATCACTATACTTGGGCCTCGTTTTGTACTGTACATTCTACTCCCGGAATATAAACATTAAGTCAGTTTCTTCAAGAACTGAGGTTCCTGCTTTAATGTAATACGTAAACATGTTATTTAAGTAAATCCTATAATGACTCCTTTTGAGGAATAAACAATTCTGACATAAATTTCCCCCTTATAAAAAAGAATAGTAATTTTTCTTCTAATTTATGTCCCGTATGTCAGACTGAAAAGTGTTAAATATAAAATCAGCACATTGTACCCCATAAATGCAGTAATGTACAGTTATGATCTTAAAAATTTTTTTTAAGTAACTTGATACTGAAAAAAAATAAGTTGTTCTCCCCAGTGAGGACTGCAGTGACATTGACATGGCACAGTGCGTTATGGGTGCACGCTGCTGTGTAAGTTCGGGAGTGGAGGGGACGCTGCTCAGTGCAGACAGCGACGTGGTCAGTGAGTGGTACCTGGGAATGGCCTGTGTCTTGGCAGGCACCGTCCTGGCCCTGGGGCCCAGAAGTGAGCAGTACACGTGTCCACGGGGACTCAGGAAGCACCTGAATGCTCAGCATGCCCGTGACCAATGGGGCTGTGGAGAACAGAGCAGGATAAGGCACAGAATTTGAAGGGAAGCTGACATCTGGGCAGAAACCTGGAAGACAAGTGGAGTATTCAGTCAGAGGACGGAGCAAGTGTTGAGGGACAGGAGGCAGCTGGGCATGCTGGGAGATTAGCGAGTGCTGAGCAGGGGACTGGTGACCAGGGAGAGGTCCCTGTCATTCTGGCCTCCATAGTAGCGAACCACTAGTTTGCTGTAATCTTAAAATACAGCCCGTTCAGCCTAGAAAGATGGCCTACGTGTTTGTTAAAAGGAACGTTAATCTTGTGACTGCTTTCAGAGATGGGTCCTCTTCCCTCCTATTCTAGCCCAAACCTCGGCCAGCAGTGTCCCCTTCACTACTCCTGAAGAGGACCTCTGCCCGGCGCTAGATTCAGCTAGTTCAGGTATCGCTGGGAGAGATTTCTCTGTTGAGGAATGCTTTGCATAATAGCTAAAAGTATTTCATTAGACTCTTGAAATGTAGCAGCAGATATGATTTAAATCTGCATTTCAATTATTTTTCTTAAGTGTAACTAAAAAATCTGGTGTTTAGGTGAAAGTAAATTATTTGTCTGATTTTCATCAGGGAATTTTTCAAAGTCACAGAAAATGTGGTTAATAGAATTCACAGCTCTCGACTTTATCAGGGCAGTTGTAAGGGTTGGAACCGTTCCCAAAGCCAGTGCCATTATTTGTTTTTTATTAATAAATAACAATAAGCTGGGTTTACTCTACACCACGAGCCATCCTGGTCCCTGTGACAAGCGTGGAAGCCTGCACAGACCTTGGGTTTACCTTCTTGTTAAAATATATCTCAAGCTTCAGACAAATTCATCTGGAAAGGAAAGGGACAATTCAATCCCCCAAACTATTAATTTTTTTTAATAATTGTAAATTTATCATTTCAATTTTGCATGCCAGGAAATGTCTCCCTTCAGCGTTATGGTAAATGATTTTAAACAGTTTTGGCTTTAAAACATGAAAGATTAAGCTTTAATTTTTGTTAAAAAAAAATCCCCTTAGGCAGTAAATAAGTTCCTTTGTCTCATGGCCTTGAACTAAAAATTAAAATAGTTTAAATTGCCCATGGTTGGAATAAGTGTTTCATGCAATTATCAGATGGTAGTGAATAAAATTAGAAATTAAATCATGAAAGAATAAAAACCAGGTAAGTGCATATTATGCCTTTTATGAGTTTCTCGTGGGTCTTTTGAAGCCTAATTTAATCATGTTTCTTGTCTGTCTTTTTTATTTTGATGTGATCATTTTTTCTTTGTTTACCTCAAACTCCTATTTAGTCAGTTAATTCTTAGGTCATTTGTTCTTGCACAGGTTTTAAAACCTGTATTTGAGGACTCTGTCTCTGTGTTTTATATGAACTATCTATAAGGGGTATAGGAATTAAAGACGATAGTACTTATCTCCCAGTGGCTTATAGATCTGGGTTTTTCTGGTAATTTTGAGAGCTTGGGAGAGAATGTTACTATTACTACTATGAACATGTCTTCACCATTTTCTGTCTCGAACCTAATATTGTGGCCATGTACCACGATATGCCACTGACCTTTTTCTATTTTTTTTTTTTTTAACAACAAGTCTGTTTTAAAATTCCCCAAATGCTTCTGTAAGTACAGACTCAGTCAAGTGCACACTTCAGGATAATAGGTAATTTCTGTCCATAGAAAGAAATGTAAGGCATTTTAAAATGCTAGGAAACATTTTTTCCCTTGCCACTGTCAGCTTTGCAAAGAGTCTTCACTTTAAATCCCAGACAGTGTCTCTGCCCGTCTTTAAGGGGCTCAGACCGAGGGCCCAGGAAATGGAGATGCTTCCCTTTGGAAGGTTTGCGGTTACCCAGGTTGAAGGTGGCTTACTGTGATCCAGGCCTCTCCTGCGTCCTCACTTGGCGGCTATCGGTGCTGTGTCTGGGCTCACCAGAGCGGCTGACTGAGCCCCGGAAAGCAGGGGTTCCCGCTGGTGGGAGGCTTTGTCACCACCCCGGAATGTCCGCATCTATAGCAGATGAGAACTTGTGTGTGTGTAGAGATGGTATGTCACGGGCTGATTCAACCCATGTCACGGAGCCTTCCAGCCTGTGCAGGGCAGACCCACAAAAACGAGCTGAGCCCTCAGCCACTCTCTCTGCATGGCAGTAACACAAGCGGGGTTTGAGGAGGCCTGGAGAAAGGGACAGACAGACAGACACGGGGTTCTGGGAGGGGCCTTCTCCCCACAACTACTGCAGTGATGCCACAGCCTCGGAAAATAGAAAGCCAGACTTCTCCCACGGACTGTTCTTCCCGCCACCTTCCTTGCTCTGGTGGACACATCGTCTGGTTACTGACAGGACTCGGTCTCTGATCTTTGTGGCCAGCCTTGCCCCTCATCATTCTTGCCATGGAGCCTCCTTCTACAGTAGACATCTCTACTCCCTTCCAGCTCCCTCAACAGCGTCCTCTCCTCGTCTGCACCCTGTGGCAGCCCTGGCCTGCTGGAGTAAAGTCCTTCCTGAGCACAGCAGTCAGGCCCTACTGCCCACCCACACACACCCGAGTCAGGGCATCCTTGATACCCCAGACACGCCGTCAGCCTGTGTGCCTGTATCCCGTGGCTTCCCTGCCTAGAGTGCCTTCTCTCCCATTTCTTCCTATGAAAATCTTCTGGTTTTTCTACATTTTTTGTTTGTTAAAAACCCAGATCTCAATAGAGCCATGAAAATCTTCTACATCGCTAGTTTACTGTAGTAGCTGTTCCTCTCCATTCCTAAGGAACGTGTAGGTATAAACTCACGTTTTTAAGGCACATTATGAAAGTAGTGTATACTACTTGTATAAAGTATAATTTTAAAAGGTTGGGGTAGTCATTAACAAAAGCTGTTGCCGTCCTTGTTGGTAAGGACCAATTCAAGTGCCCCCTCCTCCATTTCTTACTCTTCCAGTAAGAAATAATTACTGTAAATAATTAATAATTTTTTTTTTTGGCTGTGGCTGGGTTTGAACCCACCCCCTCCAGTATATGGGGCCGGCGCCCTACTCCTTGAGCCACAGGCACCGCCTGTGTAAATGTTGTTAAAGTAATCATAGTTTTAACATTAATGCCTAACTAATTCTAGACCTGGGTCAGTGCAGACCCCTTTATAAGGAGCAGCCAGGAGCTCCTTGAGGGCAGAGGAAGAGGAGGCTGAAGTCGGCAGAGGCCAGGCGTTCAGTAAAGCCACCTCCTCCTGTACTGCCAACCACGTTCTTCACACCTCTGTTAGCACACGTC